CAGCCAGCATCATTGACTGTGTACCCAAAACAAGACTGAGAAGTCATTGGTAATTGTGGGATAACACCACCTAATTGCCCAACTATCTAATATCTCATTCAGAGCTTGACAATCTGAAACAAGCGAGCAGTTATCGGCAAGAGTTTTCTTTCTACTCATTTTGAACGGGAGAAAACAATGAATAATTCATTGACAGATTCAATGGATTCACCCAAACTGGGGGTCGTTTTCTGCACCGCTTTTGGCATCCTTATGGGATTGCTGATCATAGCTGGAAACATTCTTTCCATTGCTGTTACACGTCACATGTCTAACCTGGCAGACAGCACCAAGATCTTGATGACATCCCTGGCAGTGTCCGACCTCACGGTGGGTTTTCTGGTGGTTTTCACTGTTGTTGCTTCAGCTATACACCGCCGGCCCTTTGGAGATGTCGTGTGCCACATAATAGCCATTCTGCCAGCAATTGCTTTGCTGCTCTCAATGATTTCACTCATCAGTTTAAATGTTGAACGGTACATTGCCATCACTCGGCCCTACAAGTTTCCTGTTTGGTGCTCCAGACGTCGTGTTATTACCTCTGTTATTGTTGCATCAATCGGAGCTGCATGTTTTCAGATTGCAATATTGTATCTATTCCAAGTACCTGTCAAGTATTTTCAAGGTGCAGCTCTGTGCTTTTACGATAATGTCTCTACAGAGTTAAATATCCTTTTGCTTCTGTTCTCTGATGTGGTTCCAGTATTTATAATGATGTGCATATACTACCGAATCATTCAAATCAGCCGCAAACATCAGAAACGAATCAACTGTGATCCAAATGACCAGAACAACATTCAAGACAACAAAGCCGTGAAGACGTTCATCATTGTGACTCTGACATTTGCAGTCTGTTTCACGCCATTCCTTATTACCAGAGTCATTGAGGGTTACACAAAAGAGGAGGTTGCCGAGTGGCTTCAGTTTGTGTTTTCCTGGCTCATTATATCCAACAGCGCCTGCAATGTGTTCATCTACTGTCTGTTCAATCGCTCGTACCGTCAGAGAGCCAAGAAAATTTTCACCGACAGATTTCCCTGCTGCAAAAGGTCAGTGGCACCTGTTGACATCCAAGCCTAAAAGTCAAATACAAGCTCATCAACTGAACACTGCACCAAGAACTTCGTGACTTGAAAGTTCACCCTTAAAACACACCTTAATGCATTTCGCCATCGTTACAAGATTAAAATGCGGGTGTGGAAATTTACTACACCGTACAGCAACTGACTCAAAAGGCTTCAGAAATGACAGCATTTCATGACAGTAAAATTAAGCTAGCTGAACTGCCCATTTTACTAGCTTGTGTACACAAGGTTCAGAAGCTTGGGTTAGTATGATACTTCAGGCAAATGAGACTGGGAATGTCACATGCATTCACAAAGCAAATTTACTGAGACTGAACTTGTGTCAAGTTGGGAAAATTTCACCATGAGAATTCCTCTCATGCCAAACTTGCTGGTGAAATGGACCTGATTGATGACACACAGCAGTTTCAATGATTTAGCTGTGGTTTCAGCAAATAACTTTTGACAGATGTGTACATTTATTAAACCAGACCTTGAATTAGACAAGTTCTGGGCAATTTTAATTAAGGGAACATTCCTGAAGTGACATGCTTGGCAAATTCAAAATTTACAAATCCAAGTCTTCTGCAAAAGTCAGTGTCAAAAAGTAACTCTGCAGAGAAATTTAACTTCAAGGAAAGCTGAATTTAAGGATGAAAGAGTTGATTTTT